GGATGGTTTATAAGGACATGGTAGGCCTCAGTTAGGCCTCCGTGGTATATAAGTCCTTTTGAGCAGGGTTAGGCCGTCTTTCGCTTCACGAAGAAGACTGAGTTTCCTGCCCGACCCTGCCGTGCAGAACTGGCCTACGGATTTAGGCCGCCAGTGTAGGCTTCACTAATACCTTGCTGAGCTACTGCTCAGGCTGTGGGTTGTAGGTGGTTGGCTTTCATTCAAGCCCCACTCCCCTAGGTTGGGCACAGATGTTTTTCTGTTACCCCTAGAGCCGCTGGCAGGCCCGCACCCTGGTAAACTCAGGGTGAGGTGTGAGTATTCCCCTGTGATTCAGGGTAGGTCTGAGCACTTCACTCCCAGTTCTGTTTTTATCCTACCTCGCACTACTATGGCTCGGGTCGAGTATGAAGTAAGCCTTCACTTCTTCTTTGGTCGAAGTTCGCTCCCCTGAAGCCAGAGCATTGCCCTGTGCTGACGCCCATGCATAGATGGTAGGCCCCTGACTAACTGGGGCCTCCACTGAGGCAGAGTGGCGTATGTTGTACTCCCCTTGTTCTAAGGGTATTAGCTCTCTATGCTGAGTACACTGCCATGGGCAATGTGATTAAGCACCAGGATGCTGTAGGCGCTGTGTCAACAGCTTATCTGCCAACGAGGGCTGCGCCATCAGGTAGTAGGTCTCAGCAGGCCTCCTTGTATGAGCAGCCCCCAAGAGGGCGCTATAGGCCACTTCTCGAGAGAAATGGTTGGCCTTGGTGGTTCGGGCAGTTGACTCACCGGTGGGTAGTAGGCCTTAAACAGGCCTCCTCGGAGGTGAGTCCCAACATTGTGGGACATGCTTTAATGCCGCTACAGGTAGCTAGCTGTACTAGGCCTCCTGTGGGTGGGCCCAGTAGTTACATTGGTGTAGTATGGTTCCCAACAGTGTTCCGTTGTTGCAGATTTGACTTGCTATCAGCTAGTAGGCCCAACCGGGCCTCCCTGATAGGCGAGTCCCGAGCTGGCTGGCCTTAGCAGGCCGCCTTGGAACTGTCACCCGGACTCAGCTACCAGTTGCTATCAGGTAGTAGGCCCCTCAGGCCTCCCTGAAGGTGAATTCCCGCTTAAGATGGTTATCAGGTAGTAGGCCTCACCCGGCCTCCCTGAAGACGAGTTCCCACATGCTGTGATTATCAGGTAGTAGGCCTCACCAGGCCTCCCTGAGGGTGAGTTCCCCACGTACTATTGTTATCGGGTAGTAGGCCTCTCTAGGCCTCCCTGAAGGTGAGCTCCCCACATACTGTGGTTGTAAGGTAGCAGGCCTCACCAGGCCTCCCTGAAGGTGAGCTCCCCACATACTGTGGTTGTAAGGTAGCAGGCCTCACCGGGCCTCCCTGAAGGTGAGCTCCCCACATACTGTGGTTGTAGGGTAGCAGGCCTCACCGGGCCTCCCTGAAGGTGAGTTCCCACATACTGTGGTTATCAGGTAGTAGGCCTCTCTAGGCCTCCCTGTGGGTGACCACATACTGTTGCTATCAGGTAGTAGGCCTTACCAGGCCTCCCTGAAGGTGAGTTCCCACAGACTGTAGCAATCAGGTAGTAGGCCTCACCAGGCCTCCCTGAAGGTGAGCTCCCCACATACTGTGGTTGTAAGGTAGCAGGCCTCACCAGGCCTCCCTGAAGGTGAGCTCCCCACATACTGTGGTTGTAAGGTAGCAGGCCTCACCAGGCCTCCCTGAAGGTGAGCTCCCCACATACTGTGGTTATCAGGTAATAGGCCACTCTGGGCCTCCCTGAAGGTGAGCTCCCCACATACTGTGGTTATCAGGTAGTAGGCCTCTCCGGGCCTCCCTGTAATGTTTCTCTAATGGTGCTGGGTTTTTGAAGCTAGTGGCCTCTTGCTATCAGTTTCAGCTAGCCTTAATAGGCAGCTGCTGAGGGCGAGCTTGCGCCCTGGCTCGCTAAAGTGTTTATTCTCTGCTATTTGTTCCCTCCTGGAACCTTTCCTGCCTACAGCCTGGTTTGCCTACCAGGCAGACCTTGTGCTCCCCTCACTGAGGGTCTCTATGAGCATGCGGCTTCCTGGGCTTCCTGAGTCTGGTCAGACGGTCGTAGGCCTCTCGTGAGGCCTCCCGGTTAGATCAGCCATTAGGCCTTCACAGGCCTCCTCAGTGTTTGCAAACACTGGGTTGATCCATGGATCGAGTAGAGAAACTCCCCTCGCTAGCAAGGGTCATAAAGCACTATGCTGAGTCATACTCTCCGGGATATCCTGTCTCTGAGATCCGGGCCGAGTGGTTCACTGCCAGCGTCGCAGTCCCTCGGGTTGGATACCTTACTTAAGGCTTTTTTCCAGAGGCTCTGTCTTCGGACAGACAGGAAGTGGCCAGACTAAGTGTCTATGTATCTGACGCCAGGTCAGGCCGTCCTGGTGGCATATCGGGGTGAGTACGTTCCCCTGAATAGTGACTGGCTGGGGTTCCTTCGGATTCCCTAGCCACATTCCCTAGAAGGGGCCCCTTCTAATTGAAGTTGTGGTCCTAGGCCTTTGAGCAGGCCCAGGTAGGCTTTCATTTAACTATGTTTATGGAGGTTTTCCTGTTAGGCTTATAGCTTGGGCTATGACCGTAGGGAATGCTGTCACTGACAGCCCAGTGTGACCTGAGGGTGAGTGGTTCTAGCATTTCATTTGAATTTGCTGGTTCGGACAGTTGTCACTGCCTGAGGGCATGCACTCCCCTCAGCATGGCGGAGTGGGTATTTCGTTCCCCATAGCGTCGAATGACGTATTGTTGAGTTCCCTTCGAAAGGGAACGTCTCAGGTTACAAATGTAACCTTTGTTCCCTGAGAACAGGGAACGAGACAATACGTCTCCCTGCCATGCCTCGGGGCTTGCCTGCCGTACAGTCCCTTCAGACGATAAGGTGATTTGTCATGTTTGCAAGGCGCCCTTATATACTTCCAGGTCGCACGTTAATCATTCACGCTAATGATTCACGGGCTGTCGCCGGTCAATGTGATTGACGTGATTTGATAGTGATTTCAGACACCTGTCACGCCTGAGGCGTTCCCCATAGCGTCGAATGACGTATTGTCTCGTTCCCTGTTCTCAGGGAACAAAGGTTACATTTGTAACCTGAGACGTTCTTTATTTGAAATAAGATGTTAAATTATCAAGTATAAGCATATGTCTTACACAGTTAAATACAACATATAAAATAGTGAATAATAGTTTATATAATTTGAAATAAGATGTTAAATTATCAAGTATAAGCATGTGTCTTACAGAGTTAAATACAACATATAAAATAGTGAATAATAGTTTATATTATTTGAAATAAGATGTTAAATTATCAAGTATAAGCATATGTCTTACACAGTTAAATACAACATATAAAATAGTGAATAATAGTTCATATTATTTGAAATAAGATGTTAAATTATCAAGTATAAGCATTTTAATCTAATACACCACAATATACTGACTTGCATAGATAAATAAAACATAAAATAGTGAATAATAGTTGATAATATTTTAAATAAGATGTTAAATTATCAAGTATAAGTATTTTAATCTAATACACCGTGAAATACTACCTTACACATATAAATAAAACATAAAATAGTGAATAATAGTTCATTTTATTTGAAATAAGATGCTAAATTATCCACGATATACTGTCTTACAGTGTTAAATAAAACATATAATATAGTGAATAATAGTACGTATTATTGAAATAAGATGTTAAATTATCAAGTATAAGCATTTTAATCTAATATACCACAATATACTGTTTTACACCAATAAATAAAATAATGAATAATAGTTGATATTATATGAAATAAGATGTTAAATTATCAAGTATTTTAATCTAATACACCACGAAATACTACCTTACACAGATAAATAAAACATAAATTAGTGAGTAATAGTTCATATTATTTTAAATAAGATGTTAAATTATCCACAATATACTATCTTACACAGTTAAATAAAACGTATAAAATAGTGAATAATAGTTGATATTATATGAAATAAGCGGTTAAATTATCAAGTATTTTAATTTAATACACCACGAAATACTGCCTGACACAGATGAATAAAACATAAAATAGTGAATAATAGTTTGTATTATTTGAAATAAGATGTTAAATTATCAAGTATTTTAAAATTAGTTTTAAACATGTTTGAAGTGTACCTACCATTGGTGAAATTAGGAGGTCTTTTTGGCTCTGGTTAAAATCACAGATCCTCGAATTTCTGAGCAGAAGAGATGTTTGCTCTCCGTTTGCTAAATTGAAAATGAAGATCGCTTCCATCATGGCCGGGGCACGGGCCATCCCCTTCCTCTCGGTGTAGCTGCTATGTGTTAGCATTTACAGTTTGTTTCAGGAAACATCAAGCAATTAAAAGATAGGCCGGTCACCTGGTGTTTTACAATCAAAGACCACAACTGTCTCCTACCATAAAATATCCTGGGCTGAGTTTCCCGAAACCTTCTTAGCGCTACGTCGTTCTTAAGTTACACCTTAAGCTGTACCTTATCGTTAATACGTGTTTCCCTAAACGTTCTTAGTTAAGTATACCTTCTGTAAGTCATACGTTCGGAAGGTTGGTCTGGAGCACTCTTAGCTATACCTTATCACTGTTGGCAGTTCACTCCGCTAGTGGGCACCACTGCAAAAAGCTTCTTTACATCTTAGTCTATACGAATATTATTTTAAATTTAATACACCCAGTGTTCAATTAGGCTAATTCAAGTGTTATCATGCAAATAATAAAATTGGCATCACACTGATTGTTATTAGCTTTTTAATTATATTATCCAAAGGTACATCAGCTGGCAAACCATTAGAAAGTAAAGGCTTATTCATCTATTTAAAGAGAATGACTGTGGTGGGGAATTTGGTCAAACTATGGCAGCGATACAGCGAATAGTTGATACGGCGCCGTCCGCGAAGCCATTTAGTGTATGTGCACTATTATATTCGCGAAAACTTTAGTCCCCTGGCTACCATGTCAGAAGATACAATTCAAAAGAAATTTTGCCTGCCACGACAGCAAATTCAGCAGCTTTTAGATCTTATTAGTCCGGATGTGTCAAGACAAACTCGACGGAACCACCCCCTCAGCTCCGAAATTCAGCTGCTTGCGGCTCTCCGTTTTTATGCAGTGGGGAGTTTTCTGGAGGTGGTTGGGGATGGATATGGACTGAGTAAGACCTCGGTGTGGCGGTGCGTTCGTTCAGTCACAAACATCCTGCTCCGTCATGCCACAGATTATATCCGCATGCCTTCCGCCAGGCACGAAGTGATGGAGGCGCATCAAAGATTCCATGCCATTGCCGGTATACCACAAATAATAGGGCTTGTCGACGGGACACTTATCCCCATAGCCAACCCATCAGCGCTCAACCAGGCCTTCATCTGTCGTAAGGGATTCGCGGCCATCAATGTCCAGGTGGTGGTGGACCACAGGGGGATGTTTGCAGACGTGGTGGCAAAGTGGCCTGGTAGCGCACACGACAGCTTTGTATGGGCCAATTCAGTAGTGGGTCAAGACGCAGAAAGAGGGTTTTTTGGGCAGAGCTTTTTTATAGGAGACAGCGGCTACCCCCTCAGAACCTATCTTCTAAATCCAGTCACCAACCCCACCACGCGGGCCGAGGAGAATTACAACATTGCACACATCCATACCCGCAACTTGGTGGAGCGCTCGATTGGGCACTGGAAGATGAACTTCCGGTGCCAGCATAAATCAGCTGGAGGGTTGCGTCTGAAGCCAGAAAGATGTTGTGCAGTTGCAGTAGTTACAGCAATGCTACACAACATTGCAGTCAGTGGAGGTGCAGCTTTGCTAGAAGAGGAGGAGGAAGAAGAGGAGGAGGAGGAAGGTGTCCATAACCCACCCCAACTTAGAGATGCCCTACGATGCTGGTGTACAAACGAGGCAGCAAATCATTCACAATGTTTTTGGTTAATGTATTTGTGCACCCTATTTTTCATAATCAACATAAAACTTTCCCATTTTTGTGGATATACACAGTTTCTCCCTGTCATTTTTTTATTTATTTTTTTGCTGTTGTGCACAGCCGAGTTTATTTTTCCTCCACAGTAGAGGATGGTTAAAGTAATGTATCATTCACTATTATGTGCCATTGATCATTACACAGTGAATTCTTTACAATAAAGATGCTCTGCAGACCCAACATCGATGACAGCAAGTTTGTTTAATCAAATTGGTGTTTATTCAAACAAAAGCACTGAAAATATATATTTGAAAATAAACATATATAAAGTCTGCTTTCCTGAAGCCCGCAGTCACTGGGTTGTTGATAGTTCATCTGTAATGTAATCAAATAGTTTGAACAAAAAGATAACAGACAACACTAGTAGTTCCGAGCATCATAATCGGGAACAGAAATGGTTGGCCTTTGAAATTTAGCTTCGGACAAAGCATATTGCTTCTCCAAAGTCTGGAGCTTCGCCTTCTTCACCTCCAGCGTGGTCCGGGCGAGGTTGTTGGCCTCCTGTAACCCCTGCTCGATCCCTCGGAGCACTTCCAGCTTCTCCTTTTCGAGCTTCACCAGCTCTTCACTGCAGTCGCATCGGATAGAACTCAGTGGAGGCACATGAAGGTGCAGACCGGCCGCCGGTCGCGGAGATGCCCTGTCGCTGCTGCTGGGGGGAGAGGGCGTGAGGGTGCGAGTTGGCAAGGATGGCCTGCTTTGAGAGCATGGAGTGGTATCCACACCTGCTCTCAGATCTATACCCCCTGAGATACCTTCTGAGGCCGCTTCTCCAATGATTGCCAGGGCCTTTTCCTCGTCGGGGCTGAGTGCAGGCACAGAGCTGGGCCCACCACCTGTTCTTGCCCGGTCTCTCCGGATTGCAGCACCTCTTGCCTTGGCAGCACTGGCAAAATCGTGCCACTTTTTATGAACAACTTCCCACTCTCTCTGTGGGCTTGAACTTGATGCTGCCATTTTCATGGCAATGCGTTCCCAGGTATCTTTTTTCGTTTTGTTGGACACAGTTGTCCGAAAACTCGAAAAAAGCACATCTTTGTGGAGTGCCACCTCGTCTAAAAGGATGTCCATTTCAGTTGGATTAATGCTGGGGGCTCTCCTCTTTCTTTCTTTTTTCTCCGCCATAGCTATTGATTAAATGTTTCGCGTGTTGCGCTTTTATTGAGTAGGTCATCCAATCACAGAAATTTTTTATTTACACCAATAATGTGATGCAGCTGCTGGGCAATCAACCCTGGTTGTGGAGTAAATAAATAAATTATAGCAAATATATTATGATAATATACTGTAAGTGGCCCTTTCTAATGCAATGAAAGCATACGGACAGTTACTGTAGTGGGTTAGACGCATGACACGTTTGAGCATGAGGTTGTGCGTTCGCGCACTCTTTCCGAAATTATATAAACTATCCAGGGTTTAATTTAGTTTGCAATTTGTAATTCAAATAAATGCAATTTCCACTATTTCTGAAGTGCTTCTTTTAAAAAGAACACCGCTTTCTCACATAACGCAGTGAAGCAGCCCCTGCACGAGAGAATAATTGATTCTCGAGCCATCGATATCAACAAATTCAGCACCATCGCCACGGACAGCACCGGGTAACGTCGCACGTAAGAAGGTATATCTTAAGCGGCTTCCTAAGTCATGGTTCGAGGAACACACCTAGAAATGGGATACCTTCAGTTAAGTTATACCTTAAGAGTCTTCGTAGCGCGCTAATAGACAACGTTATCGGGAAACTCAGCCCTGATCTGAAGCATTCCTGTCTGTGGAGGTGTGTATTTAGTGTTGCAAGAATCATTTGAATAGATTATAACAGTTGTAGTTTTTATTATCGACTGATTAAAAGCATCAGACAATTGTCTCCTAACACTGTGGAACTGATGCCATGTAGTCTGGTACCAAGTAGAGATCATTTTGACACCGTCCTCTCACCCCATCCATTCATCCTTCCTTCCTTCCTGGGGTGCTGTCCCCCATACTGTTTTTCCTGGAGAAAGCATGAAAGAAATAGGCACCCCAATAATGACACCTCAATCCTGACACCTTTTGAAGAGCAGATTTCTTTTTCTAACATTTAAACTTAGAACACATTATTAGAACACCCTTTGAATTTATGAATACACATACACAAGAGCTTAATGATTTTTAAATATTTTTGGGCATTTATTTAAGTAGTTGAGACTAAATCGTTACATTGGCATACAATCAAAATGAATAGCTTTGAATACTTGTAGCAGCCATTTTGTAAAATGATTTTTTTCATGAAAATTGTCACTGGTTTTACTTTTCTCATGGTGACCCCCATTTATAGATATCAAACCACATCTTGTCAATCGTAGTATACTAACTAAATTAAGTAGTTTAATCCATAAGTATTCTAGGTTATTTTTTAAATATAATTTACATAATATTATAGTTATGTATACATTATTGTATTTTAAATGGGGGATAAACTTGTCATTGACATTAAATTAAAGCATTTTCCCTCTGTACACGACTGCGGGGCCGAGCACTTCGGCGGTGCCTGAAATTCTATATAATTAATTAAAATCAAAAATTGACATATTGACGACTCAAGAAGGCGTAATTGTTCAAACAACATATTGTTTTTATTTTAAAATGTAAAGCAGCTGTGACCCTAAAGTGTTTTTCAATTGTGATATGTCTGTAAAGATAGGGACAGAAAATAGACATTTCCATAGAATGACAAAGAAATGATTTTGCATAAATTTTAACCTAAGGTAATATTTTACTTAACAGCATCTGCTCAAAAACTTTACAATTTTAATGCACAAACTGTGCTTAGTCGTCTTAGATCTAATTTATACAAAGATATGCATGCAGTATTTTGTCCACCGACACACACCAGCAAGCTGTATTCCTGTTACCGTAACTGTTTAACCTTTTGCACTATCAAAACATTTCAAATTGCAACATTCGACAATATAAGGCTTATTACGGTAATTTCAGGCTTTCCTCCAGCAAATGACGACAGCTTTCTGGCAGAGCGGGGTCGCGGAAGGATTTGAATGTTGAACAGAGAGAGATACGGAGCGCAACAGGATAGCCGCTTAGCGTGTTTTGGACAGCATAAATAATAAAAGATGAAACGAACAAAAACATCGTGATTCAAGCGGTAGACAACAAGTGAGGCGTTTGGGATGATTTTTGATAAAACTTGGGAGGTGGATGGCCGAATACTCTTTCACGTATCTTAGCATGTGTGGTCGTGCGTAACGTTACTGTATGTAAAGTTATGTATGTAGGCTATTTGTATATGAGTGCTTGTATGAAAAAAAAAGTATCCTAAATGAAAACTGTGCAACCCCATGTCACACACAAAAATACTTGTATCATTATAGTTATTTTTTCAACTTAAAAGTGTTAGCTTTTATTTTATTTTTTTCTAAATAAAAATCAGTAATTTATTCAAGTTTCTATTATTTGTCTATTTAAATTAAAAAATTAAATAAATGTACAAACACACCACACACACTAATGGCCAATAACTGTAATTTATTTAAAGTCATCTTTTTCTGAAAAGATAATTCCTAGCGCTTGAAGATAGCACAATGGTTTATAATTTTACAGTCAAAACAAAATATGTGAAAATCACCTATTTTAGCACTTCAGTTTCTAAAGGGGGTAAGTTGTATCTATTAGAAATTTGCACACATTTTCAGAGACAAGATGTGTACTTTCACAAAGCCATTGGTTATTTTTGAACAAGAGAATAATGATACCAAATACGTCTGACACAATGTTTTGAGAAAAGCAGTGTTTAAAATACAGATGATTTTTCTTCTGACAAACATACATTTTAAATTATATCCCGTGGTGTTTAACATCAAGAAGTATTTTGTATGCAAAGACGAATTAATTAAAAAACTACAACAATACAAATAGTTTAAGTCGACATAAAACGATAACAAACAAAACACTCCCAGATCCTTCCATAGTTGTAGTAAACATTTACAATATGTAAATAGATTCTCACAGATTTGATAAGAGCGCCTGCAACACATTATTGTAATGCAATCACATTTGAGGACTAACGTTACCCGCCCCTTGTAAAGGCTATGGATAAAATTCAAGCATAATCTTTATGCAACAATCACGCGTGCACAGTTTACTACAACAGTGTGTACGGGGTATAAGAAAAGAGGGTTAAAAAACTCTGTTTATAATAAACACACAAAAGTGTGCAAATGACGGTTTTATTACTCCGATAGATTTAGTCATCTTGTTCAGACAGCAGATGATACTGTTTCACATTATGTATGTAGGACTGTATGTTTTTGGGTGAAGACTTTTCTTAAAGAGCTGTCAACATTCTGCGTTTTATAGGAATAAATGACAATTAATTTAAGTAATAGTCTTTCTGTTTGAGAATATTTGACTAAGCTGATACTTTGTTTAGGTCAACTTTCCCTCTATCTATGATGTGGAATCACACACAGTATTAACACAAAAAAGTAAGTCCATGCTGTTTTACACTTAAACTATACGGCAGAGTCACATCTGACTATTGCCCTGAGAGATGCATATTCATTAAAGCATGAGGTTGCTAAACAAAGTTCCACACTTCGGTAAAACCTGCAGATAAAATTGCACAAAAGCAAATTCTAGAGGTCAAATTGCAGAAACCCTCTCTTCCGATCTATTGCAAAAGTTTGTAACCATGATTGTATATTATTTTTCCACACTAGCGGATGACACTGTATACCTCTTGTTTCTTTGTACAGTTTTTGACAAAGACTCTTTGAGCAGTGTCAAACATGTTCATATAGGAATTAATGAACAAATACATCATAAGAAAATTACAAAAATTTAAACTGATATTATTTAGGTCTGTCTACGAAGAGGTCACAAGACACATAATAGGCCCAACATGAAAAGTGAGGCTTGATGTTTTTCTGTTACATATATACGACTGTTACACTTAAAACAAACCTATCGATTAGCTATACACACTGTAAAAAATAAAATCGTAAAAAAACGGTCAATGACTGGCAGCTACGGCTGCCAAACAAAAACCGTAAAAATAAAGTAAAATATCCTAATTTAAATTGAGTGCAAAAAACTT